ATCCACTGGGGGTTGGTTCCAGAACCTACAGTGGATACCAAAATACATAGACACTCAAATCTTGTCACGTACAATGGCATTGCAAAATGGTTTCCCTGATGTAAAATGGCAAAACCAAAGTTTGCTTTTTGAGATTTTTTTTAAAAATACATTTTCAATCCATGGATGGCAGAATCTGTGGATATGGTGAGTTAACTGTTAATATTTAAAATACATACATACATGTTTTTGAAATATTGTAAGTGTGGTCACACCAGAGATATACAGAATAGCATAATGACAAACGCTTTGCATTAAAAACAAACAAACAAAACAATAGCATTCATTTCCCTCCCCATCCACACACATATTGTTAATGTAAAATAAGGCCTCTACCACTCAGCTGTATAAAATCCACACTGAACTGGATTATATGGCAATGTGGACTCAGATAATCCAGTTCAACGCAGATATTGTGGATTATCTACCTTGATATTCTGGGTTATATGACTGAGTGGAAGAGCCCTATGAGATTTTGATTGTGGGTTTGGAAACTGGCCCAGTTCTTTCTTAAGTCATTCACAAATATCCTTGACATGTCATTTCTTTCTGCTTAGCAGTTTTTTTATTTTCTGTAGTTTATAAGCTCTTAAGCAAATGTAAGAGGGAAGAGAAGCTAATGTATCTGATAATTCACTATATCTGACTGACAACCTCACTGAATTTCCCTGTGGTGCTAGCAAAACACTGTTCCAAAAAGTAATAACATACAAAAATGAAAGGATCATAGGGATCTTGTCGTCAAATTTAATTTCAGAGAACAAAAAAAACCCGTGTGAGATAATTTCTGTTTAGATCAGTCAAAAACTAGTCGGGAACATTGGTGCCAAATGCTGTAGTGGAGTAATATGATCTAAGCTTAAAATAGCTGCCAAGTATACCATGTGGTGACTGGCACTATTATATGTGTTTTAGTGTGAATGATCTGTTTCAAAGTAAAACTACATAACATCAAGCTACACCAATGAAGAAAAGAAAGGTTTCCCATTAACCCATCTAAGTTTTACTCTCCTGTAGTTCTTAAAATACTAGAGTTTTTATTCCAACACACACCCACCCCCAACACATACACACACACTTGATTTGACTGCTGGGGTTTGAAGTTCCGATTGGTAAGGAACACTCTGTTACTGGCTAGTGATAGAGGACATGCTTTGCATACAGAAAATTTCACATTCAGCTCCCAAGAGCTTCAGTTAAGAGGGTCAGGTGATGTGCCAGTACCCTAAGGAGCTTATCATAGTGATACGTGACGGGCTAGATCAGGATGAGCAAATGCCAGCCCGTAGACCATGTGTTGCCCCAAAGTAGTTTTGGGGGACCACAAGTTAAAAGGTAACTTCTAAGGACCTCATCACATTTGAGCATTTTCCCACTTCAATCCACCTTAAATGCTGTGACTGTCTCCTACAGAACTCTGAGGCTTGTAGTTTAGGGAGGCCACAGGCGTCTCTAGATGAGCAGTTTAAAGGCCCTTCCCTAAACTACAAATGCCAGAATTCTGCAGGAGGCAGTCACTGCAGAATTCTGGGGTTTGTAGATCATGACTAAAATGTGGAGCTCTAAACAGTTTAATAGCCTATATTGCAAGACTATGGGGCTTTAGCCATCAAAAGGCATCCAATTGAGAAAAACAGCAACCATCCACCTTTCTTTCTCTAATTAGATAATCCTCTTACCACTTTTGATTATAGCTTAATCAGTCACAAGGAACTTAATGAAAGGTTCAGCAACAACTCTTGAAGAGCACCTAGAAACTAACAAACTGAACAAACTTACAAAATTGTTTCCATAGTGTCACCCAGGACATTCCATAGTAATCAATATATCTATATAAATAAAAATGTAACGTTCATTTGTGGGATTGACATAACTCAAAAACCACTGGGCGAATTGACCCCAGATTTGGACACAATACATCTATCAGGCCAACAAGTGACCATCCCTCATAAAACCACTGAAAAACACAGCATAAAAGACTTAAAAAGCCAAAAAATACATTACAATTCATGCGCAAAGCCATATATATATACAAATATACACACACAAAACACATATACACAAACTGGGCCACACCAACGCATGACAGGGGATGGCTAGTCCATAATAATTTGAGATAATATACTTCATTGGAAAGCAATAGGGTGTCATGTACAAGTGTTTAAGCAAATAATGCCTCACAAACAATAACAGTTCTAACATTAGCAGTAAGAACTTAGTCTTTGAGATCCAAGTATCTAAAAAACCTATGCTCACACTGGTCCTCCATGCCTTAAGTAATTTTTAAAGGTTTCAATCCAAGATTCCCTGATAAGACAAAAGGAAGAAGGTAAAAAGGGGGGGAAGCAGGAGTAATATACAAAATGATAGTGGAAGCAAAAGAAACAATGCTTGGAACAATAATGGAGTAAGGAAAGCATACTTTCAGAGGAAAGGGTGGAAAAGATAATGAAGGGGTAAGTACCATTAAAATGGAAAAGTTTCAAAAATTAGTAAAAAAAATTATTTAAAGTGGTATAGAACCCCAGCTCAGCTAGCATATATGATAAAAGACTCCAGCTCAAACTGCTGGCATTGTAAAAAGGGGAAGGGATGGTTTACGCATATGTGGTGGGAATGTGAGGAAGTGCAGAGATTCTGGAAGAGGGTATTAGAACAAATAAATGAGAACATGGATATAAGCTCTGAAATGCCTCAAAGCTCTACCTTGTCCCACATGTTGTTAAATATCTTTTTCAAGTAGTTAAGGGAGATCTTTAGAGAGTTTGGTAATGGGTACTATCACTATTTTGATAAGACAAAACTCTACTTATGCTTGGTATTTGATTCAAATGGTTCTGTTGATGTGCTGGACCACTGCTTACATCCTGTAATGGATCGGGTGAGGATCATAGAATCAGTAAAAAGGTAAAGGTAGTCCCCTGACATTAAGTCCAGTCATGTCTGACTCTGGGGTGTGGTGCTCATCTCCATTTCTAAGCCGAAGAGCCAGCGTTGTCTGTAGACACCTCCATAGAATCATAGAATCAAAGAGTTGGAAGAGACCTCATGGGCCATCCAGTCCAACCCCCTGCCAAGAAGCAGGAATATTGCATTCAAATCACCCTTGACAGATGGCCATCCAGCCTCTGTTTAAAAGCTTCCAAAGAAGGAGCCTCCACCACACTCCGGGGCAGAGAGTTCCACTGCTGAACGGCTCTCACTGTCATGTTCTTTCCTCATGTTCAGGTGGAATCTCCTTTCTTGTAGTTTGAAGCCATTGTTCCGTGTCCTAGTCTCCAGAGAAGCAGAAAACAAGCTTGCTCCCTCCTCCCTGTGTTTTGTAACAATGCCATGTGGCTTCCTCTCACATATTTATACATGGCTATCATATCTCCTCTCAGCCTTCTCTTCTTCAGGCTAAACATGCCCAGCTCCTTAAGCCGCTCCTCATGGGGCTTGTTCTCCAGACCCTTGATCATTTTAGTCGCCCTCCTCTGGACACATTCCAGCTTGTCAATATCTCTCTTGAATTGTGGTGCCCAGAATTGGACACAATATTCCAGGTGTGGTCTAACCAAAGCAGAATAGAGAGGTAGCATTACTTCCCTAGATCCTATTGATGCAGGCCAAAATCCCATTGGCTTTTTTTGCCACCACATCACATTGTTGGCTCATGTTTAACTTGTTGTCCACAAGGACTCCAAGATCCTTTTCACACGTACTGCTCTCGAGCCAGGCATCCCCCATTCTGTATCTTTGCATTTCGTTTTTTCTGCCTAAGTGGAGTATCTTGCATTTGTCTCTGTTGAACTTCGTTTTGTTAGTAATTTTGTTTGTCAATAAACTGAAACAGAACCTTTCAGATGGAGGTTTGGGAACTGGTTATTTTTCAAGACTGAGAAATGAATGGGGTTGTACTGCCTCTGAAGGAGCAGTGACTTGGAAGTACTCACAGATCTATGTTTCTCTCTGGTGGCCCAAGTACGCTGCAGCTTGAATCCCTTGGAACCAGCTCTGATTGGACACCAGCTGCTGCCCTCCCTGGATAGGGATGACCTACTCACAATAGTCAATGCGCCAGCAATTTCTCAATTAAACTACTAAAAGGCTCTTACAAGAGACTGAAGATGACTTGGAAGTTTCAGATTGTGCAGTGAAGTAGTAAGACCAGAGTATCATCTCGACAACACATAACACCAATTCAGTTCTGGTCTGAATTTCAGGTGCTGATGATGACATTAAAACCCTTACATAGCTTAGGACATAGATACTTGAAGAGTATATACCTGTTCACAAACTGAGGCATTTTGGAGGGGTGTCCTCCATTTCTCACTAGTAAGAGTGATATTTTGCATGGACATGAGAGAGAATTTCCTTTGCTATGGCACCTCAATTTATGGAATACTTTCCCCTTAAAGATCCAATTGGTGCTAGTGGTAATTTCTTTTAGGCACCAAGTTAAAACATGGCTTCTTATTAAAACTTTTGCAGCCTATCCTTTTTTAATTGTACACATCCATGGATTTAACTGTTTTAGTCCTTGTTGTTTCAGCTTGGTAAATTGCTTTTGTCTTACATAAATTATTCTGTTGTTTATATCTGGAATTGTTTACAATTGTTTCTATTGATATACTTGTCAGCCTCCCTGAGATTTTACAATACTGAGATTTTACAAAACTGATACAAGTACTGATTTCAGTATAATTTAAAGATGTAAATGCTATATCTCAAAATGTAGCCTGGAGGTATGTAGGGCAATATCTATATGTAGTTTGTGGTCAGAGCTGAGAGGAAAATAGTTTAGCAACACTATCTATACCAGCTTAAAGTACAGGCAGGAGAAAAGGTGGGAAAGAAAGGTAACACTGGCCCTGAAAAAAAATAGTTATCCAAGCAAGTTGCGGATACCATTGTTGTGCTAAATTAATGAAATTCAACTTCACCATTTGGAAAGAGAGAGAAACCTTCCTTCATACAAATATTTTCTTAATTAACTTTTTATTTTAAAAAAGAGAACATATACAGCAATTTTTCATAGAAAACATATGTCAAACACAAACAAATCTAGATATATTTTAAGAAATTCAATTATAATATATTCCTGGCAAATGCTGGAATAAAAAAATTTATCTATGCAATCTGTCCATACTTTCAGGATGTAGCTTTGGCATACATTTAGTTGTTAATCACTTTCTTCTGGCTCATCGATCGTGAAATAAATAGCCACTCCTGATCTGAGCTCTGTATTATGCACTAATGCACACAGAGAGAAATCTGGACAGCCTTTTTTCTTTCTAATTACATCCTTTTAAAGATCAACCATAGCCTGGACCCAGATGACATGAAGGACAACCAGCCCTGCAGTCAGTCAGATATAGGTTAACTATTATGACATGTTTCCATGCTCTTAACACAAGGGTGGGCAATGTAACCCTCTACAGGTCCTGCTACATGCCACAATTAAAACACCATGATTTCATTTTAATTGCAGCTTTTTGCTACAGAACTGTGGAATTGGTAATTGGGGGAGAATCATGAGAATTCTCAAAGAGTGCTAATGCCTTACCGAACTAGAAATACCAGGATTTCACACAACGTTGGCATGGAAGTAAAGTGGAACACAGTGCTATAGTAGTGGCATATGAAAGAGTCCCAGATGTCATTGTATTGTAGTTCACAGTATCTCTGACTGTTGACTATACTGACTAGAACTCATGTGAGTTATGATCCCAATTTCATCTAGAAGGCCACAGGTTGCATTTTCTTGATGTAGGAAATAGAGTGTGTAATACATTTCTTTGAAACATGTGGAAAGTTATTCTCTGAATCACTTCTATAGTTAAGCAGGTGATTACAGGATTCTGGGAATCTGAAGAGATCTTGGCAGTTACATCAGGACATGGAAACAGGGTGGGTTCCTGCCTCAGTCAGTGGATCCGGTTGGGATTATCTGGCTGTGCTGACAGCACCCAAGCAACAATAGGCAGATGGGCTTAATCAGCCATTAAATTTTTGACAATGCTCCCAACACTCCAAAAGTTGTTGGGAATTGAAAAAAGGGCTAACTAGCAGGCACTGCTCAAATAGCTGGACCATAAAAGTGGGGAAGGAATCCCAGAGGCATCTTCAACACTGAACCCTGTTAACAGATATTGATCCCTGGCTGCGAGGAATAATTTATTTCCCCATTGGCCTCATTGATCTGAAAGGAGAACCAGATGAACAGGGGTGGGCATATTCTGGAGCTCAGAGAACTGCACCAGCTAATTTTGACATCTTGAAGCTACCATTTTTACAACCAGAAATGATGTTGCATCCTTCCTGGTGAGCATTTTTTTCTATCCTGGGTATGGTACAAAAGAGTCAGGGAGGTGTCTGATGAACTATAAGCCAAATGACTTGGCCAAATGAGTCAGGCCATAACTGCAAGGGGAAGAAAAACAATGACGGCAAACTATATAATACATCTTCTACAATCAAGAACACCAAAAACGAAAAAACAAGCTTTAGAACAAAAGCCTAGTTAAATATGCTTTCACAGAGGATTTAATCCATGAACTCTTCCATTCTCCTGCACTGTTTGAACATGGAGGCATTTGGTGAAGAAATTCTGTGGCTTTCCAGATACTGTTGGACTGAAAGTATCATCTACCCTAGCTAGCACAGCTAATTGTGAGGCATGTCAGGAGCGGCTGGAGAACTCAAACGATAGTTGACCTAAACTCCACTGAGTCAGTGAAACAGATCTAGATTGGGGAAGGCCAGTTGTGAGAATCATATAGCACTTTAGATATTGTTAAATTGCAACTCTCAAGTATTGGCTATACAGGGGGCCTTTGGCATCTACTGGGGTTTGCTTCCAGGACCCTCCATGGATACCAAAATCCGTAGGTGCTCTAGTTTCATTATATACAATGACATAGTAAAAAAGTCATTTATATAAAATGGCAAAATTAAGGTTTGCCTTTCAGATTTTAAAAATAATTTTAAGCCATGGATGATTGAATCAATGGGTGCAGAATCAATGGCTACAGATGGCTGATGATACTGTCTATGTCTGCTGGTATTTGCGCAACATCTGGGAAGTCACCCCTAATTTGGGCTATACATAGCAACATCGAAGCGCTATTCTACTGACCTCATCTTCTGTACTCCCATGTTAGCTAAAACATTCCATGGACAATTGGATGCTATTTTAAGAGCCAGAACATTTGCTCAGATTAAACCTAATGAAAAGTATTGAAACAAGAGATAATAGGAAACTGAAATGCTCTGTGGAACATTTGTTAGTTCCAGCATAAGTACTTCTGTCATGACCATTTATACATTACTTACCTAATAAAAGAAAACACATGGTCAAGCTTACTCAGAACTAGACATACTTATTTGGAACCAAGTGCCACTGAATTCAGTAAGGACTCACATCTGAGTAGACATGTACAAGACTCTGCTACTTGCCTAAGCAGACCTAAAATGGCACTATCCATAGACTGGACCGTAGGAGGAATAATAGTAATAATAATGTATAAAAATAGCTTCTCAGCAAACCTTCCCTATGATTCCAATATTTCAAAAACTCAACTAATCAGAGTGCAGGTAAATTGTACGTCCTACCAGTAGGAAAAGCATTCCTGAAAACACAGTAAAAAATATTCCAACTGGCGCCAACATAAAAGACCAACCATAGCGAGCATAGAGAGAAAAATCTGGACAGTCTATTTTCTTCATAATCACATAGTTTTCAAGATCCGCCATTGCCTGGACCCAGATGACATACAGCACAACCACCAGTGTGAACAAAATACCTAGAAAGAAGAAGAAAAAAATGATAGTTTTTATTGAAAACGATAGTTTTATCAGACTGTACAGCAAAAACCATTGTAGTCATACTGGCCGAGGGATTTGGGGCGGGGGGTGTCTATTTTAAAAAACTTGCCCCTGGCTTCCCAGCAGTAGAAATACCTGGAAGACACAGTGAAATACTGTATATACTTGAAATACTGTATATACTAGTTTTTCAGCCCTTTTTTAGGCTGAAAAAGCTCCCCTCGGCTTATACTTGGGTGATGGGCCTGGCAGGAAAGTGTGGGGCTGAAAGAAGGGTTTCTTTCAATCCTAAGCCTTCCTTCCAGGATCCTCATCTCTCTGCATAGCAACTCAGTTCTCCTTCCTCTCCTCTCTCGCGCAGTGCCCACCTTCCTCTGCTCCTTTCTTATGCAGCATGCACCTTCCTCTCCTTCTCTCTCAGTGCCAGTCTTTCCCACTTTTCCTTATTCATATACACACAGCATTTTCCCCAAAATTTATTGTTAAAACAAATGATGGTCATTATTGGAAGGATGCATAAGCACATTTACATTGAAAAAGGTTAGAATAATCAGAGTTGGACAGTCTTATCTTAAATTACAGTTTTATATAAATATTTTTAAAAAATTAACCTACTGATGCCTCAATTAATGTAATTTTATTGGTATCTATTTTTATTTTTGCTGTATGTCTCACTCTCGGCTTATACATGAGTCAGTAAGTGTGCCCAGTTTTTTTGTGGCAAAATTAGGTGCCTCGGCTTATACTCAGGTTGGCTTATACTTGAGCAAACTTTCGCTATGATCCCCATTTCAAATACTCAACTAATTAGAGTGCAGGTAAACGGTATCACTTATTACCACACAGCTCATTTAATATCAATTTATCTTCAATAACCATAGGAATTGAGAGGATGTAGAGACCAGAGTAGAAGACAACAGACACTGCACAGGTGCAAGCAAATTTCTTCATTGTTAAAAAGGCAGAAACCATCTTCTCATGAAACTCTGTAGAAATACAGGAATCTGCCTTTGACAAAGGGATATTATTGATTCACCTAGCTCAGCAGGTAGGCATTAACTTGCAGTGAATTTCAGGCTGGTGTATTTCACCTAGAAAAGCTGGGGACTGAACTGTTACACAGGGGGAAACTTGATATGTATATGAACACAGATCTTTTCTCTCCAAGTTAGATAACTCTCGTTATATATTAGGCTCCTTTGTAAAGTCACTGAATGATTCTGGGAGTTGTAGTCTGGCAAAGAAACTTTTTTTCTGGCTCTGATCATAATATTGAACTTGCTTATTGCAAGGATTACTAAGAAAATGTATAAAATTGCTCTGAACCCTCTGACCAACTGCCTCAATTTGGAAAAGACAGTCATGATTTATCCTCTGTTATCCCACTTTTTAACGCTTCTAACGTTTTTATTTTCTCATCCTACTTCTCTCTTTTGTGCTCTGCTAACATCAATGGCTAAAAACTGAGTTCTCCTTCATCCTCAAGACAATTTGGTCCATGGGATGGAAGACCAAGTAGAACTCACTACTATTTATACATAACAATAATGATAATAATAATTTTATTATCCACCTCTCTTTTTGGCTTGAGGTGAGGCACAACAAAGTCAAATACATCTATAAAAGCACACATTAAAACACAATTAAAATGCAACCATAAAAAGTTTATATGAAAACATACACACATTAAAATGCATGAGATAAAAGATGAAACACAATAAATATTTGATATTATTTTAAAATTTGTAGTTAAAACTGACTGGGTAGACCTGCCAGAGATAGGTCTTCAGTTGTGTTTTGAATTCTCACAGCTCATTTACGTGTCAGCAGGTTATTCCACAGACTTGGGGCAGCTGATGAAAAGGTCCTCTGGGTGATGGTTGTCAGTTGGGTACTGGCTGGTTAGAGTAAGCGTCCACCAGAGCACCTAAGTGTCCTAAAGGGCAGGTTTTGCAGGAGATGGTGATCCTGTAGGTAACCTGGTCGCAAACTATGTTGAGCTTTAACGGTCAAAACCAACACGTTGTACTTTGCCCGGAAACTAACTTGCAACCAGTGGAGTGACTTAAATATGGAGGTAATATGCTCACTCCTGGGTGTTCCTATAACTAGTCTGGCTGCAATGATTTCAACTAATTGGAGTTTCTGAACTTGGAACAGAGGTAACTCGGCATAAAGCTCATTACAGAAGTCCAATCTTGAGATTACCTGCAAGATGAAGTGCTCGTATACTGTACATCTTGAGATAAGACTATTTGAATGACTATATACACATTTGCCAAGGTCTGAAGAACTGCAGAGGAAGCCTTCTTCTTGGCTCTGACACCTTTAAATGTTTGGTTGGGATGTCAGAGAAGACTATGGCCATTTCAAGGGATTCTAAGCTGCCTTCCTTTCTTCTATCCATCTGTCCAGATGTGTTACATGAGGATGTTTTGGCTGTTTGAGGAGTGGCATTTCTCTTTATTGAAAATTCTGAGGTTTATTAATGTGACTTTAATTGAGTTTTAATCTATATTTAAATTTAATCCATATTTAAATTTAGTTTCCATCCATACGATCACCTTTCAGTGTCATTTTTTGGCAGAAAGGCTGGGTATAAAACAAATAAACATGCCAAACAGAATGCATTTATTTTGGGGGAAACTGTTCTTAGCTTCTTGTGCTGACAACTGTCAAGAAGGGCCAGAATTGATGTTTTCAAGCCCAGTGGTTGGATTAACCTCATCTCTGCCATTTTAACTTCAAGAAGCCTACATTTTTAGACACATTTCAAACTGCTGCACATTTCTTCATTTTTAGCTGGTTAGACCTTTGCTTGAGGCACAAGTGTCTCTTTAGTAAAAACAGAATTTTCTCAAAGCTGCAATGAATCACAAACGACTGGAGGAAATTATTTCTAAAACGTGAAATATGTGCCTGAAAGAGATTAGGAGACATACGCATCCATTCCCTCACACAGAGAGTCTCTCCTCCTGCCTTTTCTATTTTGCTATTTTATTTATAAAGTAGACCCATGTTTGATACACAGCACTGTGCAATGAGATAAGACACAAGCTTCTTGGAGGTCAGTCTTTTCTGCCATTAACATTCCCTCTTCTCAATTGGTTTCACTCAAACTCTTCTGCTTATTACAAAAAAAAGGGGGGGGGGGGTAAAACAGAGAATGCAGAACCTTTAAGAGTGTCTGGGAATTCAAGAGCAATTTCGGGGCCTTGTGTGTTCTCTGCACACAGCAGTGCCTTTTGCTTGTCAGCAATGAATGGCTGTTTATGACATAAAACTTCCAAATCAGATACAGACATGAAGTCAACAGGTGCCAAGCGGTGTGACAGCAGCCTTGGGCAGATGCCTATAGTAAATTTAGAGCTATGCCAATTTGTAAAAAGTCATTTTGTTCACCTGTTTACCTTACGGATTTTGCTCTTGCTGTGGATATTGTTGGCAGAGGACTGCACACTGATGGGAGAATCTACATACAACAATACCAAGACAAGTTCCACTGCTGAAACTTTTTAATGGGAGTTATTCCAGTAAAGGCTGGCATGAAATCTAAGGGCATAATTTAGTATGAGCTGAGGCACAAAAGAAGAATCTAGTCACACAGCTGTCTCCGTCAAGATAGTGACTAATAGCAAAAACCAAAGCATTCCACAAGTGATTGAGCATCAAGGAAGGAACAGAACACAAGGCAGAAAGCATTTCATATGGTCACTGTAAGAGTGCCACAGCTAAAATCAGGTTTTGCTGTTGCCAAATCCAGTCCCTACTTTTCCTCACAGAGTAAGAGAAGTTAATGCCAAAATAGCAAGGGGGGGGGGGGAATCTTCTCATTTACACAAAATGCTGATGTTACTTTTTGGATGCCTGAGGGTGCATCTTCACTCTAGAATTAATGCAGCTTGACATCACTTGAACTGTCCTGGTTTAGTGCTATGTAACCCTGGAATTGGTAATTTAATGAGGCACCAACATTAGTTGGCAGAGAAGTACTTGTAAAACCCCAGCTTCCATGATTCCTTAGCATTGAGCAGTTAAAGTAATAAAACAAAACATATGCATATGTTGGGGAGTATTTCCTCACCCAGTTTCCAATAGGTCTTCCCATTGAAAGAAAATTCAGTTTTCCTCAAACAGCTAATCTTAGTAATTGTTATCTTCAAGGCAACTCTGACTTATCACGGCTCTGTAATGTCAAAGTACATCACTTCTGTTTTGTAGACCATGGTTTACTGAAAAGTATAAATTTGTATCTATATATCATATGGGTTAAGACAACAAAGTATCTTGATTTTGGGGGGGGGGCAGCAGATGTGATGGAACATTTTCCCACAAGACTTTTATTTGTTTATAGGAGGGAGGAACCTAAATGTGGCAAGTCGTTGAAACTGGGTAAGGTTTTTTTAATGCTATAGAGATGGCAATCCCATATAGAATCTAACTTTTTTTTATTTGTGTACATTCTGCAGGACAGAACAATATTTGGAGGAGTAAAATTTCCCATTGCAATTCCTGAGGCTTAAAATGTGTGATTAGCATTTTCATTTTCAAAATGCAGTCTCTCTGTATGCTCATAGTGTCACTGCACGGTAGCTGGTGAAAAATTACTTCACCTTGGTATGGACTCATACACAAGAGAAATGTCTATAGTCTGGCAACATTACCATGGAAGCAGGAATCATTTGGGTGCTAGTGTAGGGACTTTTCCTAGGATCTTCCCAAACAAGACCATCACTATAGAGATTACCACAAGATTATAACTCTAAACATTGCCTATTTGAGAGGGATGAATGCCAACCAGAAGTGAAAATCAGCAAACTTTAAACAGTTCTAAATTGCTTCAATGCCCCTTCTCTGGCCACATTATGGGTCAGTTTTTAGAATATACATATAGAAATGGTGGCCATAAATATAATCTGTTACATGTTTCTAGGAAGGAAAAGCCATATTACACTCAGAATTTTCTTCACAATTTCGCTAAAGCTCGGGTGTTTATGTGTAGTCTGTAAAGTGATTGATGACTATGATAGCAAGTATTCCAATATAGTCACTATTTTATTGAAGAAAATGAGGCAGATGACATGTCCACAAGGCAAAAACAGTGAGGATTCATGATCAAGGACAATTTTTAGTCCAGATACTCCAGAGCCAAGCTCAGCTTCCTTTGTGATGGAAAATAATAATTGATGAGACACAGATAACCAATAGGACTGTGTGAGTGATATGTTTCAGATTGTTGAATTATCTCTTTTTATATTTTATATCATCTATCTATCTATTTATTTATTCATCACCTTGTCTGCATTGTATTATTAGTAACAGCAAAGTCTAGTGGTTTGAGTTTTGGACTCAACACTCAAACCATTCATGGAAGGAATATCTGCTAAACCGGGGAAACCCACTGAGTGATCATAGGTAGATCATACTCTCTCAGCCAAAAGTAAGGTAATTAATCTAACCAGAAAAATCTTCTGTCCCAATCATTATAAATTAGAGTCAAGTGGAAGCAAATGACAAAAAAAAAACCAAACAGAAACAGAAACCATCTAATGTAGCTGCAATGTTCATAATAAATTTTAAAATGCTGTGATATCATCATAGGATATCTTTAGCATATTGTGATAGGGATGATGGTGGTGAGTATGCAATTCTTTGGTTGTCTGATATGCTTATTTTTGAAGTATGTCTTGCCTTCTCCAGCAAAGGATCACCGCCTTGTCGGGGCGCTGGAGCTTGAGCACCTCAATGATGTCATGAGCGAAACCGTGAAGGGACACCCAAGACGGGACGGTTGTGGCAGGGAGGTCAGACCAAGCGTGATCCCTGGGGAAGGCAATGGCAAACCACTCCAGTATCCTTGCCAAGAAAACTAAATGGACCAGTACAACCAGAGATATGTCGGTATGCCATTGGAAGATGGGACTCCCAGGTCGGAAGAAGGCCAAAATGCTACTGGGGAGGAGCAGAGGATAAGTTCAACTAGCCCCAGATGTGATGACGCAGCTAGCTCAAAGCCGAAAGGAAGGCTAGCGGCCGACGGTACTGGAGGTGAACGACGAATCCGATGCTCTAAAGATCAACACACCATAGGAACCTGGAATGTAAGATCTATGAGCCAGGGCAAATTGGATGTTGTTATTGGCGAGAGGTCAAGACTAAAGATAGACATTCTGGGGGTCAGCGAACTGAAGTGGACTGGAATGGGCCACTTCACATCAGATGACCACCAGATCTACTACTGCGGACAAGAGGAACATCGAAGAAATGGAGTAGCCTTCATAATTAATAAGAAATTCGCTAAAGCGGTGCTTGGATACAACCCAAAAAATGACAGAATGATCTCAATTTGAGTGCAAGGAAAGCCTTTCAACATTACAGTGATCCAAATATGCCCCAACCACAGCTGCTGAAGAAGCAGAAGTAGATCAGTTCTATGAGGATCTGCAGGACCTACTGGATAATACACCAAAAAGAGACATTATTTTCATTACAGGAGACTGGAATGCCAAGGTGGGAAGTCAAATGACAACTGGGATCACAGGCAAGCATGGTCTGGGAGAACAAAATGAAGCGGGACACAGGCTGATAGAATTTTGCCAGGAAAACTCGCTGTGTATAACGAATACTCTCTTCCAACAACCTAAAAGACGGCTTTACACATGGACCTCACCAGACGGTCAACACCGAAATCAGATTGACTACATCCTTTGCAGCCAAAGGTGGCGGACATCCATCCAGTCGGTGAAAACAAGACCTGGGCTGACTGTAGCTCAGATCACGAACTTCTTATTGCCCAATTTAGAATAAAACTAAAGATATCAGGGAAAATACACAGACCAGTTAGATATGATCTCACTAACATTCCTAGCGAATATACAGTGGAAGTGAAGAACAGATTTGAAGGACTAGATTTAGTAAACAGAGTCCCAGAAGAACTATGGACAGAAGTCCGAGACATTGTTCAGGAGGCGGCAACAAAGTACGTCCCAAAGAAAAAGAAAACCAAGAAGGCAAAATGGTTGTCTGCTGAGACACTGGAAGTAGCCCAAAAAAGGAGGAAAGCAAAAGGAAACAGTGATAAGGGGAGATATGCCCAGTTAAATGCGCAATTCCAGAGGTTAGCCAGAAGACATAAGGAACTATTTTTAAATAAGCAATGCATGGAAGTGGAAGAAGACAACAGAATAGGAAGGACAAGAGACCTCTTCCAGAAAATTAGAAACATTGGAGGTAAATTTCAGGCAAAAATTGGTATGATAAAACAAAGATGGCAGGGACCTAACAGAAGCTGAAGAGATCAAGAGAAGGTAGCGAGACTGTACAGAAGATCTGTATAGGAATGATAATAATATTGAGGATAGTTTTGACGGTGTGGTGAATGAATTAGAACCAGACATCCTGAGGTGTGAGGTTGAATGGGCCTTAAGAAGCATTGCTAACAACAAGGCAGCAGGAGACGGGATCCCAGCTGAACTGTTTAAAATCTTAAAAGATGATGCTGTCAAGGTGATGCATGCCATATGCCAACAAATATGGAAAACACAAGAATGGCCATCAGACTGGAAAAAATCAACTTATATCCCCATACCAAAAAAGGGAAATGCGAAAGACTGCTCAAACTTCCGTACAGTGGCCCTTATTTCTCATGCCAGTAAGCTAATGCTCAAGATCCTGCAAGGAAGACTCCAGCAATACATGGAGCGAGAGTTGCCAGATGTTCAAGCTGGGTTTAGAAAAGGCAGAGGAACAAGAGACCAAATTGCCAATATCCGCTGGATAATGGAGAAAGGCAGGGAGTTTCAGAAAAACATCTACTTCTGCTTCATTGACTATTCTAAAGCCTTTGACTGTATGGATCATAATAAATTGTGGCAAGTTCTTAGTGGGATGGGCATCCCAAGCCACCTTGTCTCTCTCCTGAGGAATCTGTACAAGGACCAAGTAGCAACAGTCAGAACTGACCACGGAACAACAGACTGGTTCAAGATTGGGAAAGGCGTACGGCAAGGCTGCATACTCTCACCCAACCTTTTTAACTTGTATGCAGAACACATCATGCGATGTGCGGGGCTTGGTGAATGCAAAGCTGGGGTGAAAATTGCTGGAAGAAACATTAACAACCTCAGATATGCAGATGACACCACTCTGATGGCCGAAAGCGAGGAGGAGCTGAGGAGCCTTCTAATCAAGGTGAAAGAAGAAAGCGCAAAAGCTGGGTTGCAGCTAAACATCAAAAAAACCCAAGATTATGGCAACAAGAATGATTGACAACTGGGAAATAGAGGGAGAAACCGTGGAGGCCGTGACAGACTTTGTATTTCTAGGTGCAAAGATTACTGCAGATGCAGACTGTGGCCAGGAAATCAGAAGACGCTTACTTCTTGGGAGGAGAGCAATGTCCAGTCTCGATAAAATAGTAGAGTAGAGACATCAGACTGGCAACAAAGATCCGCCTAGTCAAAGCCATGGTATTCCCTGTAGTAACCTACGGATGTGAGAGCTGGACCTTAGGGAAGGCTGAGCGAAGGAAGATCGATGCTTTTGAGCTGTGGTGTTGGAGGTAAGTTCTGAGAGTGCCTTGGACTGCGAGAAGATCCAACCAGTCCATCCTCCAGGAAATAAAGCCCGACTGCTCACTGGAGGGAAGGATACTAGAGACAAAGTTGAAGTACTTTGGCCACATCATGAGGAGACAGGAAAGCCGAGAGAAGACAATTATGCTGGGGAAGTGGAAGGCAAAAGGAAGAGGGGCCGACCAAGGGCAAGATGGATGGATGGCATCCTTGAAGTGACTGGACTGACCTTGAGGGAGCTGGGGGTGGTAACGGCCGACAGGGAGCTCTGGCGTGGGCTGGTCCATGAGGTCACGAAGAGTCGGAGACGACTGAACGAATGAACAACAACAAATGTCTTGCCTTAACCTAAACGCAAAGTGCAATGTATATCACTGAGTAAATTTCACCTAGAATTTGCCCAGGTTAAGACCACTTGAAATGAACAATGGGAGAAATATGGGGATTTTTAATCTAAAGCTTTTGTTCCAATGAGGCTGGAGCAACTAACATTCTCAGATGCTGTGGGTTTATCTGGATTTATTTACTGAGAAAAGACCAGCTCTTCATCCAAAGTGTGTATCTTTTAAAAAATGCAATATAATAATTATGGTGGACGTGGAGTTGCCAGAGTTAAAACTGCGCACAGTTCCTGTACCTTTAAGGGTTGGGTCCTGTCTGATTTTAGAGGCTAAGCAAAGTCAGTCTTTGTTAGTTCTTGGATGGAAAATAACAGCAAATACAAGGTGCTATAGGCTATATTTCAGAGGAACAAACTGGCAAGACCATCTCTGAGTATTTCTTGCCCAAGAAAACTCCATAATTCCCATGGGCTTGCCCTATGTCAACAGGAGACATGAAGGCACATACACAATTTTTCTTCTTTGACGCAATGGTTAAAGGAACAGGAGGGCAACTCTAGGAGGGTACAATTTTATGATTTTATAAATGGCTTGTACAACTGAGACTTCAAGAGGACACTTACCAGCAGCGATGAAGAAGCCTCCCCCTGTTTTGTACAGCACATGGCTTCCAAATGGGGCAGCACAAATGATGAAGAAGCTAGCGATGACCACAGTGACTACTCCCAGAAGCAGAAGGACTGACCAGAAACCACGATAGACTAGATGTCACCAAAAGATGGGAGAGAGACACAAAAAGCCTGTTATTTTTTTCTCCTTAAACCATCCTTAAGGGCAGAAGGCAATTTTATAGACCCCACCCTTTCATATTTCTCATTAGCAAGCCCAACATTTATTCCAAAACAGCTTCCTATTTAACAATAATCTCAGAGTACCATATGTCCTTCATTAGGCTTGAATGCCAAACCTTATCTGATAATCTTGGGTTATAATGATGTACATTAGAGTGCTATGAAGCCCTCTTGCTTGGCATTTCCATTGTACATGTGTGGTTAATAAATTCATTTACTTGGTCAATGGAAATTGTTCATAAAATAGTGTGCTGAACTGTGGCCAAGATTCTTCAAGATAATTATATGGTTTCACTAGATAAGACTGATTTTTCCAAAGTAGTAACAGAGACGAGAATGAATGTAAGGAAGGCAATACCTAGGACAGAGCCAAAATAAGTCATCATAATCTCACCCCTTAAAAACAATAAGTGATCCCTTTTGTGAAGATGTATAAAGTTCACAAAATGAATGTATATATAGTTTTGAAAACAAAACTCTTTCCTGACAAAGGAAAAAGGCAAAAAATTATAAAGGAGCAAGTGAAATTTGCTATCGCTGAAGCCATTCTCACAGTAAAGTTCTTTGTATGTTATTCAAATCAAAATGTAAAAATACAGAATCTCATTGAGCCAAGGGCAAGCAATGCAGAATTAATGGAAGCAGCTGGTGATAAATGGACTGAGAGCTTTGTGACATATGGTGCTTCCCCTCCCCAAATAAATGTTCATAACAATCGTTTAGCAGGCTAATTACACATCTATTTCCAGAGACACTTTACAAAGACCATGGTCATGGTGGAAATAAATTCATTTCCGAAATTTTAAAAGGAGCAATATTAATTCCACTTGCTCAACACATTACAAATTGTTATAGGTTCTCCTATAGACAGAAGAAAATTAAGAAATGAAGGCCATGTGTCATAAATAATAACTGAAGTTTAACGAGAAGATACCTAAAGTAGTTGAAGAACCTTCATGAAAATATTGAGTTATGCCAAATATCACTCATTCAGTCTTATGATTATGAAAAGGTGTGTAACTTTACGTCCCCAATGATTCCAAAAGCTCTGCGCTATGTGAAAATATGAATGAAGTTCAGAATTTATTTATGTACTAAATGTGGATTGGGATATCTAAATGACCAATTTCACATAAAATCCCTGGTTGAAGGACGATCAAGACAGTGTTCTTTCTGAAGCAATTATCCATTCAAGTCCAATTTAAAGATAAAGTAGCATCACAATGAATAGCAGAGGCTTTCAAGTTACCCATAAACAGATAGTAGTGAGATAGGCAACATATATGCAGTTCATCTTTTTCATTCTTTTTCACTCTCCCTCAATCTTTTATTATACTTATACTTAAATCAATCATTGTATTTCTGTTCCATCTTATTTCTGAGAGTGGGACTTTAGGTGGCTTATAGAATAAAACGAGATAAAAGTGAAGTCATAAATTGCTGAAAACATACTAAAAGATAAGATTTAAAATACTATTAAATTATCTACAGAATTAAAACACTAAAATATTTTCATCTGAAAGGATAGTTTAAAAAAACCATACAGCAGTAAAAAAAAAGGGAAACTAATTATATAAAACACTTTCCAAATGAGTTGTTGTAGGTTTTTTCGGGCTATATGGCCATGTTCTAGAGGCATTCTCTCCTGACATTTCACCTGCATCTATGGCAAGCATCCTCAGAGGTAGTGAGGTCTGAGGATGCTTGTCATAGATGTAGGCGAAACGTCAGGAGAGAATGCCTCTAGAAAGTGGCCATATAGCCCGAAAAAGCCTACAACAACCCAGTGATTCTGGCCGTGAAAGACTTTTACAATATTTTATTATTATTATTATTTACTTCATTTGTATACCGCTCTCTCTCAGCCCGTAGGCGACTCAGAGCGGTTTACAGCCAAGTCAGTATACAAAGTGCACAACATTAGCATTTAAAACAGTAACCAAGGCAACTACATCAATATAACAATACATCAATATAACATCAATACATCCATATAAGTAATGGATGTAAATACAGTTTCCAAATGCTTATCTAAATAGGGATAATTATTTCTAAATTTATTTTCATGTAAATTTGCATGCGCACCTTTTTGGTAAATGTATGCCTTCTCTCATTTTTTTATTTGATGATGCATTTCCTCATTTGGGGGGGGGGATGCATAGGGATAATTTATATATCACTATTTTTTATTGTTTGGAGCTTCTGGAGACCAGAGGCAGATCTACACTGATCCAATAACCAGAGCCAATCCAGTGTGGTATATGCCAGATCAGCTGTGATATGGGTCACACAGGCCCTTTCCAAGCTACTGAAGAGGCAGAAGGGTGTCCTGGCCATCCAGTGGCACCCTTCTGCCTCTTCATGGTTCAGTACCCCTAGACAGTCACCCTTATCACCCCCTTCTGTCCTTCCATGTCATGGCAATCTACAGCTGTGAAACAGGTCCTTCTGTCAGCCGTCACCTGCAGAGACATCAGATGAGGAGATGAGGCAATAAGGAATGGGGAGAAATGAAAGGAATTGGTCCCAGATGAGCATTGTGAAACATTGGTCACCACTGAGCTGATCCAACCCTAAAACAACCTAAGTGGTCAATTTTTATTTATTTATTTATTTATTTATTATTTGGACTTATATGCCGCCACTCCCCTGGGGCTCGGAGCGGCTTACAAGAATGGCTAAAATCTAACAAAATTTAAAATCAATTTGAAACCATTTAAAAACGGCAATATCAAACATTAAAAGCCTGTTGAAACAGGTATGTCTTACATGCCCTGCGGAAAGCTGGTAAGTCCCGCAAGGCACGGACTTCAGGTGGCAGATATCAATGCAGATATCCTCCAGGATATCCCACCTTAGCCATGGAAACCCATTCAGTGACATTTGGGAAGTCACACTATCTTATCCTCAGACAGAGCCAAAGGTGAACAATGTTTGAACAAACCTTACTTTTTAAAAATCCCATTAATAGGGTCACTTTACATTCCCCATTAGTTGGAAATGATCTGAAGTCACATAACAATAACAAAAAAGGCTATTACATTCAAGCCACTTCTGTTTCAACAAGTAACTACGTTGTGTCATCATCAGCCATGATCGAAACCTTCAACCTTCTCACATCAACCTAGTATTTATCTTGTCAACTAAATGAACTCTCATGACTGCCCTACTTTTTTTTTCCTGATAAACAACTTGTTTGATTTGCACTAACTCATTTTAATAATATTAGTGAGCAAAATAAAGCTGAAATACCAACCAATTCAAATGATTTCAGCAGCAATCAGATAAATACTTATGTGAGAGTAAGTTCTGTGGAATTTAATGAGAATTTATTTCTAGGTAGTCATGCAAAGGATTTCATTTAAAAAACTCAGTGACACTTGAACATGGAAAAAATAGTATACAAAGGCATTTTGTAACACTTGGGGATTGAGGGCTGTACCACACTGGTGCAAAATGTGGTTGGAACCAGAATAAAAAATGCCAGCTCTGAGCTATGTTGCATCTATTCCAGGCAGCCCTAAGCTGCCTTTGCAGTAGGAGACCAGCCAGCCAGCTCAGCTGTGCCAAAGCTGGTTTGACAGGTCTGGGCATGGGCTGGGTTTCCTACCCTCCCTGTGTCCCCATTTGCCCCCAAAACTACAGAAAGTCTGGACTTTCTGATTCTGCATCATGCAGAAAGCAACAGAACCTGGGAGGAGTAAGTCCCCCCATAATCCAAAACTCTGTTGCATCTTGCATGATGCAGAATCAGGAAATACAGATCCAGCAGCAACAGTAAAGGATTTTCTGTAGATTTGGGGTGAGGGATGGGGATGCCTAGGAGCAGAAAGGCACTACCATCCCTTCCTCAGACTGCCTGAGCCTGGGAAGAGGGATGGCTATGGGGACACAATCTTGGATCTTGTATGGTGAAACACTAGGAAAGAACCAGATCTTCCTGAATGATTTGGACCTTTCACAGTGGGTTTTTTTTTCAACCAGGGTCAAACTGGATTAATTTGTTTAGACTGTGTGTATTGTGTGGATGCACTAGGATAACACGACTCCTACACTGCATTAAATAGCACACCTGAGAGAATGAGGTTTACCAAAAGCATACACTTTTATGGATTCAGGCCAGTTTAGACTGTCTGCTTAATCTAGTGCCAGTCGAATCTACCAGGATGGTAGCCAAATACACTGAACTGAATGCTGTGTAATGGATCTTCCCTGAAAGTAGGCTGCCTCAGCTGCCAGAAGAAGCTTTGGGATAAGTCTGCTTCTTTTTGTTGGTGTGGACATGGCCTAAGTCAACTGCCTCAGATGAAAAAAATAGTACAATAATGCTACTTTCAACTTCTTACTTTTATACTGTTACAATTCCATTGTGATATTATTTTAAAAAATAAAATGAAATTTTAGTTTAATGTTTTAGGACAACCTCAGAGGCCTGGGGCATAAAGATTTTAATGATAATGATATCAATAATTTTTAGGTTTATTTATATTTATATGATTTGTGTTTTATGGACAAATGTATATGTTGAGTTGGGAGGGAATGATGGTATTATGTAGTTTTGTGTTGTTGTTTTTCTTCTATTTTGTTCACCATTTTAAGTCCCATCCGTGGGAGAAAAGTGGGATAAAAGTAAAATAATAATAATAATAATAATAATAATAATAATAATAATAATAGAGCAGAAGCAGCTAAAATATAGGCTTACAAAGAGTGGCATGTGAGATTTTCGTTTGTACAATCTTTTGGTGAGCAAGAACAGGAAAGAGAAAAAGAATAAAACTTAGCATATTGTTATTCATTCTGAGACCTTGGAGTATGCAAGTAAACTTAACTGATGCCATAAATACTCCATGTCTACTCACACGTAAATGTGGAAATTAAGCTATTTATCTGTTAGATGACTGCATAAACATGAGGTTAGATGCAATACTTACAAGCTATATAAACTATGTCATCTTTATATGCAGGATATTTTCCAAGTAGTAGAGTATAAAAAGGCTGAATAGTCATTGAACTTGGTTCTGCATTTTAAGTTTGACAACCCTGTGTTGTTGCAACAGGATAACTGAGAATAGTTCCCATACCATAGCCCCACAAGATTTTTCTTCAATATGTCATAGCACTTGCTGCAGCTAAAAATAAAATGACTTGCTAATGTAATTCATGGAATCAGTGGACTTGAAGTATCAAGAGAAATCTTGAATTATAGTCCCATGTCATTTGGCAAAATGTGGCGATAGCTCTCTTATGTATGCTCAAGGTTTTTTAGAGGTAGGCATGAACCCAGAACTTTGGAAGCCTTTTTAGTGTGCACCCAGTGATAGAGTGAAACCAGGGTTTCCCTGGTTGAAGTGCTAGGACATTTTGTTTAGTAAGGGTAGCATCCTATACCATCACCATTTTGATGCTTCCCTGTTCCCTTCAAACCTTTTAATATGTCTTGAGCAACAACAGAAGGAATTTTCCTAGAAACAATATATTGCTGAACATGGAGTATCATACTGAAGCTGAAACTATTTTGTTTTTTGTAGCTCCAGAGTCTTGAACATGGAGCAATGGATTCAAACTACAGAAAAATAAATTCCTTCTAAGAAGATCTTCCAAATGTAAGCACTGTTAGACAGTAGAATATGCTGTTTTGAAGTGTCGTAGATTCTCCTACTTTTGAGGTTTTTAAGCAGAGACTGGATGGACATCTGTCAGGGCCCATGAAGCAAAATACGGTCCTTCAAATAATCTGTATCCAAGCCATGTAGTGCTTTATACATCAAAATCATTATTTTGAATTGTGCCCAGAAACACAACAGACCTGTTGCAACAAGCAAGTTGTCTGCTTCCTGTTGTCAACCCATTCACGATCTGGTTTCAGTTTCAGTCTGAAGTTTCTATGTGCTTTCCAAAGGTTTATGAAAATCAGAAGCATACGTAAGGAAGCAGATGTGGTTTTCACTCTGACAGACCCCCCAGGACTATTCTGTAGTATCTCCCTCCCCCCAACCCGCCCGCCCGCCTCATGATTCAATATAATGTTTTGTCAACAAATGTCTCCAAACACTCTCCATGGGATATGTGGTCATTTTAGCATATTTTTGCCTCCCTGTGTGTTAAGTTTTTACAACAGGTCATTTTCAGTCACAAAGCAGGCTTTTCCTAGATCTATAACAAGCCAATGGGAGAAAAAATGTTTCTTAGCCTTGTAGCAAGGCAAAAGTACCACTCAATACAATCCACTGTCTTTAACAAATACGTTTTCTTCCCATTTACAGATATACCATTTGAGATATGGCTACTTAATATATAGCTCTGGCAAGCGCAAATCATGAAAGAACAAAATTTAAGAATATATATTGATCTAGAGTTCAGCTGTGACCTGTCAAGGGTTGTTAGCTGTGGTTCCTGTTGTTAGAACATAGGTTAGGACAGTTCCAGCCTAAAAGCAGTTTGCGTATCAACTTTGGAAGAAAATCCCTGTTTCAAGTTTCTGTTTTATCAAAGCTGAGTAGGCTCACCATGCATGTATGATTAATTATATCTGATAAGAACTGCATTTTTATCTACATTTACTTGAGAATAAACCTCTATGAACTCAGTGGACCTTAATGTCATGAAATAAAATGCATAAGATCTAGCTTTGTGGAGACTGTGTTTCACAGCCATTTGTGGTTATTATTAGTCTTTTATATAGTGGCAAGACTAAAAGGATGTAACTGGAGATATTCAGAAGAACAATGGAACGCCAAATATCCCACAATGACAAGCACACTGATAAATATAATGCACTTCAGACTTGGAATATGTACAAATTGTAGTGCACAGAAATGGTAAGCAAGACTGACAAATACTTTAACACACACGTTTTGTATTACAAAAACTACGTAGGTACTACACTGGGAAATGGGTAGTTGAGGACAAAGAGAAGACAAATCCCCAGAGGCAGATATTTCTATTATACCAATTATCCTGTAATAATTATTTCACAACTTCTTTACTGTGAGATAACTCTCAGTGGCGGCACATTAAAAAATAATCTAGAAGGACACATTTTCAATATTCCATGGGAAACTGTCATTTAAATATGAATATTATTTCATCACATTGCACTTTGTAATGAAGATCTTAAAATTATTAATTACAATGAAATTAGTTCACATGAAGGAACTGAAGATGAACATGTCAGAATCTGGCTACTTTCCAGAGATGATTAACCCCCCTATATATGTATACGGAGAATTACAGTAAGTCCCATAGCATTCAACAGAATTTGCTCCCCCAAAATATATATATAGGCTTTGGAGATGCAAGATGTCATTATTAACCTGAAATACTAGCAAATTTTTCATATTATTTTCTATTAGAGCAATAAGACAGTTTAGAATGGATTAATGAATGATTAAACACAAGAAATTTCGGAAAGATAGAAGAGCCACACAGCTAATTCCCATTTATCACATTATTGTTGAAGAAATATATTTTAAAATCAAAGATAATGCAATCATAGTTTAATTATTAAAGTCTCAGTGTAACTGCAGAGCTTGACTATGCCTAGGAAATTGCCAATATTGTAATTCTCCTCATGAAGAATTTTGTTTGTTTAAATTTGGGATAAGCTTTAACTGGATAGACACACTTCATTATAAACAAAAAAGCTCAGATATCTATATTCAAATCAGAAGTTTTAGAGAATTTTAATTCAGTTTGAAACAGCACAATGCATGTATGCAAAATCCAAATCAAATTACATTAATTGAACGTTTTCATGACAAAGTTGGGAGATCTGGATATATTTTGAAAAGGGAATGCTTTGATAACAAGATATAATCATTTCATTCACAGATTTAAGAAAAAATCAACAGCACTGTAAAAAGAACTCATGGCATTGATAAATTATGACTCTATGAAACAAAGGATTTTATAAGCACTTTTTTTCTACCGTTTTGCCATTATAATCTTTATGAATATTTTGGTCTTAATTACATTCTGTGCCTTTTCATATTTTAAATATATTTATAGTGGGGATATTTTAGGATTTCTAATCTGTTTAAATGCTCTTTGTGAGTTTCAAACTGCATTATATGGCAGTGTAGATGGGGCCTTTGCTTAGCTGCCACTACATGCTTTTGTGTCATCTTGTTGTCATTGGTCTCACTTATTCATAATGTGTGGATTGAAAGGACAGGGTTGAATCTAGAAGGGACATTCCACACTTCATTTGCAGAAGTGTTGTGTTGGCACTGCCTAATACAAAAGCCTGTCCCCACGTAACAGGAACAGAGCTTGGAAAAGCCATCGTTTTGAATTACAACTCCTCAAGCTTTTCTGTCAGGGACCTTTGTCTATGCTGGTTGGAGCCTGAGTGCAAAAAAGTTATCTTTTCAAAATCTGGACAAAATCTTCAAAATTTGGGGAAAAATATAAATGCCTTATAATCTAGTTTCAAAATGTGAATTAGCTGCATTGAACTTGTCTACACTGACCTATAATCCAAATGAATGCAGTTATTCCACATTCTGAAACTGGATTATAGGACAGTGTAGATCCAGCCTCCACTGAAAAATCACAAAATCAGATTTTGGTCCATCTAGGCCAGAAACATATTTTCAACAGCAGACATGGATGTTATGAAACAGATCACCCTACTCACAAACCAGTGAAGAAGAAAATACTTACTAATTGCAGAATGATAGGCAGTTGAGTTGTTTTCATCTCGTAGTAGAGGAAATGGAGAGAGGTAGGCATGGGTGCAGTTTTTAGAAGGTGATTGATTTGCTGAAAAACAAGAACAATCTGTTAAATTATTGTCTAGGTTTTTCATAGATGTGCAAGTGTAACATCTATTCCCTTTTATGAAGTATTTGTGCACCAATTTAGATGGCCCAAGCACCGCAGCAGCACACATACGATACTTCTCAGTGCCATTGTTTTTCATGACTACTTCTAGTACTAGTATTATTGCCATGCTCTGGAGAAAGAAAAGGATTTTCCAAATAACCACAATAAAAAGGACATGTCTGTCATCACGCTTACAGCATAAAACTATCCCAAACAATCACTTTTTGAACTGTAATTCCCAGAATACCTTAGCCAACATAACATAAGAGTTGATGTTCCCTCAGAGAAACATTTCTAAGCACTCTCTAAATCAAAGTCAGCTCATGGGAATGTGAAAGTAAATCTAATGCTCCTTGTTGAGGAGTTTGTACAACCTCTTGCACAAGCAAAAACATGCAAACAGCTTTAGCACCTGTTACAGAATACTGCATGGACTCTTATGTGAGCATCTGAAGAATGCATTCACACAGACTCTTGAAGACATTTGCCAAATCACACCAGTGGCTGCCTTCCTTCAGCACAAAGTTCTGAGGAAGCCATGCACAAGCCCAACAATTTGGAGCCAATCTGCCAGCTCTTTGAAGTTCAAGGAGCAGAGAATTTATGCATAGTGTAGTGCAAACTAGCATATTCTATCTAGTCTAAATATATGACTGGATAATTGCAATATAGCATTTTCTCCAACTGGTGACATTACAGGTTGCTTCAAAATGTGTTTGTCTTCCAAAAAAAATGGTCTCTTCCCCTTCCCTCTGCAGATCCCCAGATCTATAGATATCCTTAAAAAAATAGAAACTCAGTATTCACTGGAGGTTGGTTCCAGGACACACACAGTCCCCTGTGAATACTGACATTTGCTAATGCTCAGGCCTCATCAAATACAATGGTGTCCCTTTATATAAAATGACAGAATGATTTTGTTTTGGATTTTTTGCGAGGTGGAGGGGAATATTTTCAAGTCATGGATGACTGGATCCATGGATATAGAGGGCCAATGGTAGATGTGGTAGACTTAATGAGAATGAACCCCTTGTCAGCAAATATATATTTGAATAAAGCAGAATGAAACCCTATGCAAATAGAATTTCTTTTTCTTGTTTATAGTTTGTATTTAAAGACAAATATAATACAAAAAACACACACATAAAACAAAAACATGTTTACACAAATTGCTGGTTGGGATATTTTTTAAAATGACTACTTAACTAAATTCTAACAATTACTAATACTACGCTACTACTAAAGGCTTAATGCAGATAATACAACATAAATACAAAAATGAAACAGACACTTATACAAAAAGAACAATACTAATGAACAAACATAAACTAATCTATAACCTCTGACTCACTGTATGCTGATTTTTATCTCTCTTTAATCTATTCCCTTTATTTAAATCAGTGGTTCCCAACCTTTTGAACAGGGACCACTTTGACCAGGGGCCACTTGACCCTGGTCAAACCACTCTACAACATTAGTACCAAAAGGTTTACAAATCAGTTTTTGGTCAACTTTAGATTCAGTTTGGTTATTTGGGGTGCTGATTCAGGGAATTGCATTGGATAGACCACATCAGCTCTAGTTTCTGATACAGGACATAGGCCATCCAGTAGTTGTCATCCGCTCACCCACAGAAAACCATATTTAATAAACCTCGACACTATAAGAGGGTATTACGAGACCAGTCGCTCTCATTGCAACTGTGTAGTAATGGTGCAGCCACAAACCATATTTTAGTTCTTGCAGACCACTGGTGGTCCATGGACCACAGGTTGAGAACCACTGCTTTAAATGCTATTTATAAAATTACCCTTATACTTTTAGTATACTACTAAATCCTAAAACTTTCAATAAACAAATGCCCCCCATACAAATAGAATTTCTGAAGTGAATATAATGTATCAAGAACAAAACATGTATTTAAAAAATCTGTTCTAAGTAAAATTAGACTTATATAAAAGAAGGATACTTACTATACCAAAACTTCCACATACTGTTAGCATTCTCATCTACCTTCCCATCAAACCAGCACCTCCAGAAGAAACCTTCATGATGGAAAGTAATCTTCTCTTCCTGTGGGAAATAAAAAGGGAGATTACTATTCAACCCAACTGATAAATTTAAAGAAAGAAGGCAAAAGTCATACATTTATAAAAGGAGTCACAATATCTTCTTTTCACCTGTGCTATTTCTGAATGCATCTGATCAAATCAGAATTAATCATCAAAGTGTTAAAGAAATTTAGATGAAGCAGACATTTATGGCTGGTATTTCTAGACGAGGAATAAATAAACGTCTTATGACAGTACTTTCAGATGCCATTCAAAAGAATAAAAATATATACTAACCGCTGTGTCATTCAGACTTTCTGAACACCTTCCAACTTCTGTAGCAAGGAGCCAATAGTCTGTTCCAAAGGCAACCAAAAAGAACAAAATTCCAAGAGCTCCAAAGAAGCCTCCAAAAAATATCCCAACGCTCAGTTTCATTGCTGATTTGGTTTTGATTTCCAGAACAGTGTATTTTCAAGAAAGGGTTTGGAGGGGAATCTCCACAAGAAAAAATAGCAAAGGATTACACCACAGACCTGAAAGTGCTCTTAGGAAAAGAATAATTGATTTAAAATATTGTATATAAAATTATCCCTGTGGGTTTTTCCACTTGCTGTTGTGTGATTTGTGTCCCATTAAAGTGCAACCTAACAAATAGACAGGGACTTCTATTTTTGGAGACCCCATAGAAGAGCCTTACAGTACTTCCCTCAGTAGGTGTGGCCAACCACAAATAGCTGACCTTGCCTTAGCTGGATATTGACTTGAAAATTGTTGCACTTGGTGCTTCAACCGATGTGGAAGGGGATGAAGTTACTGCATGCCCTTGTCAATCAGCAGAGGTTGGGTTTCAATGTCCAGCACTGGCCAGCCATTCCTGGTGCACAGCCTGCAGTCTCCCTCCATAAGCAGGCATGGAATGCTTACCCTCCATACAGACACACTCACAAAGCACAGGCCCAGGGTTGAGGCTAGAAATCATACTATGAACATATTATACTATTCCTTAAAATGTGTGGATCTCATTCACTGACTGAGATGTAAAGTCACCGCAGCAGCTATTAATGTTCTGGATCTCTTAGTGTAATCAATTTATTACCGGCCTTATTAGAGGTTCCATAAAGTGCCATTTAAAGTTCAATCCTATACAACATGGCAGTGAGCAGCTCCCAAATCAGCGTGAAGTGAATCTGCTCCAGGTTTTAATCCAATCTTTAATGGAGATATCCAATGTATAGGATTTATTTTTCAGGGTGCGTGTATAGGTTTCAGTACCTTGGATAGCTCTTTTAGAATTCAGGTCCCATCTATAATGCCATATAACACAGTTTGAAAATTTTATTATATGGTCAGTGTTGACTCATATAATGCAATTTAATGCTGTTAAACTGCATTATATGAATCTACAGTCATCAGGTAATGCAGTTTCAAACTGCATTGTATAGCAATGTAGATGGGCTTTCATATAATGCAGTTCAATGCTATTAAGCCGCATTATAGAGTCTACATTGACCATATAATACAGCTGGGGCCTCAAACTTAGGGTGCATCTTCACTGTGGAGATAATACAGTCTGACATCATTTTAACTGCCAAATAGTGCTGGTGCCTTGCCAAACTACCAAAATCAGAAATACTCCTAAATCCAAACTTGTTCACACAAGGAGGCTTTTCTTTCTGGTGTTTCATGCACAAGATTATTTTAAAAATTCATATAAAATTATTTTCAATCTATTTATCTATCTATACATCTATATCTATCTATCCATCTACACACACACACACACATATATGAATCATACATAGAATCATAGAATGATAGAGTAGGAAGAGACCACATGGGCCATCTAATCCAACCATGCAGGAAAAGCACAATCAAATTATTCCTGACAGATGGCAATTCAGCCTGTTCAAAAGTTTCCAAGGAAGGAGCTTCCACCACACTCTGAGGCAGAGAGTTCCACCATTGAACAGCTCTGATGATCAGGAAGTTCTTCCTAATGTTCAGGTGGAATCTTCTTTCCTGTAACTTGAATTTACTTATTTATTTATTATTTACTGTATTTGTATACCGCCTTTCTCAGCCTTTCGGTGACCCAAGGTGGTTTACAGGCAACAAGTAATACACATAATATCAAAATGCACATAAAAACATTAATTACAATATAAAACCACAACAGAAATAATAAGCAACAGCCAGGAGACAGGTGCTTTCAAAGTCTCTTCCTCAGTCCCCTTTCTCCTCTTAGCTGGCTTGGGGGCGGGGGGCAGGGGGTGGGGGGAGAAGCAGTAGGATTTCCTTCTCCTCCTGAGGTGGCAGGCAGATGTAGTAAGCAACAGGTTTTTTTGGTGTTTTTCTGAGTGATGGTCACTCCTTGGATTAGTAGGTGTGTTGTGGGCAAATTTGGCATCACTTCGTCCAGCGGTTTTTGAGTTATTATGTCACTAAAAATGAACAGAGCATTATATCATATATATATATATATATATATATATATATATATATATATATATATATATATATATATATATGGCTGGATGGCTCTTTGTTAGGAGGGCTTTAATTACATTTTCTTGCCCTGGTGAAAGGAGTTGGACTGGATGGCCTTATGTATTTTCTGTTGGTCATGGGGGTTCTGTGTGGGAAGTTTGCCCCAATTCTGTCGTTGGTGGAGTTCACAATGCTCTTTGATTGTAGGTGAACTATAAATCCCAGTAACTACAACTCCTATCGTAGGTCTATTTCCCCCAAACTCCATTTTTGTTCATGTTTGGGCATATGGAATATTCGTGCCAAATTTGGTCCATATCCATCATTGTTTGAGTCCACAGTGCTCTCTGGATGTAGGTGAACTACAATTCCAAACTCAAGGTCAATGCCCACCAAACCCTTCCAGTATTTTCTCTTGGTCATGGGAGGTCTGTGTGCCAAATTTGGTCCAATTCCATCATTGGTGGAGTTCAGAATGCTCTTTGATTGTAGATTAACTATAAATCCCAGCAACTACAACTCCCAAATGACAAAATCAATTTTTTTTGAGTGATGGTCACTCCTTGGGCTAATAGGTGTCTAGTGGCCAAATTTGGTGTCAATTCGCCCAGTGGTTTTTATTTATATAGATAAATAAATAAATAGATAAATAGATATGAAACATAAATCAATTCTATGTTTAGACTTTGATCCAATCTCCAAGATATCTCATTATGTATATGCAAGTACTCTATTCCAAAATCCCACCCACTAACCCTCCAAAATTAAACAAAAACAGAACACTTCAGGTCCCAATAATTTCACATAAGAGATGCTCAACCTGTAGCTGTTTTAGGCAGCAAATGATGGCTGGTGCAAAGAGAGTCATGGTGGGACCTTCCTCTTCTGTTACAGCATAAAACTGTATGTTACAGGCCACTTGTCTTGCACCGCTTCAAATTTATTATAATTCTGCTCCTTCAAATGTATACTTTCACTTTTAAAGATTGTGGTTTCATAAGGCTTGCTTTAAAAATCTACAAAATCTATATAATGCCCCTCATGAATCTTAGTGGAAAATCAGATGGTGGCATTTCTTAACCACAATTAAGCCCTTATGTTCCATTGCAAGAAATGAACCAAACCCCTGTGCAGCTCTGGCCTCAAGTCTTATGGAAACAATTATTGATTCACTCACACAATCATATAAGGCAGACATTTCTGGGCAAAATTTATATTTGCTATTTAAACATCTGTATGTTTCACTAGCTCTTAATTTGACACATGACATGTTATGGTTCTGTCTACGGAGAGTATTCCTCCAGAGGGGTGGGATTGGATTGTTGTCATGCTCTCTTCCAAGTCTTATGTTTCTATTAATTTATGAAGAGTCTTGTGTTTAGTTACATGGAACATAGCAAAATGTACCTCTTAGCATGCTAAGCTTGCCTATGTGTAAATGTATGAAGTATCCTAGTATGCCATTTTTTCCCTAGTAGACTGAAAAATTGAAGTGCTCATGCCTTATAATAACAACTTCCTTTATTGATCTTTACTTGTACTGTGTGCCTTGCATGCATTCTGCATAAGTAAATTGATTTGAGCCCCATCTACACTGCCATATAAAATCCAGATTATCTGATTTGAACGGGATTATATGGCAGTTTTATTTATTTATTTATTTATTTATTTATTGGAAGACGCCTGTGCGTGAATTTTTTTAATGTATGGAGATCAGTGCACAACTGATCAACACACAGTCTTCACAGATGGAACAGTTTAACAAGACGGCCGTGGTGTTGCAGCCTTCTTCCACCTTCACAGCCATTGTAACATGTACCATGCTCCGCCGTTGAGGTCTTTGGGTCTCCAGATTGTGCTTGGTCTGGAACCTCCCCCGCGGCCACTCCTGGGAGTGCATGTGTAATGAATCCCTTACCTTAGCTGGCTGGCTGAAGCCTATGGGAGTGGGCCTGGCAAAGCCAGTGTCCATTTTAGAAAAGGAAGTCGGGTGGAAGCCATTTTAGTTAGGTTTTCCTTGAAGGGGGTGTTCAAGTCTTAGAGGGAAAATAAGGAGGCTAGGATTGGCTAGGAAGATGGGGGCGGAGCCTAAGTGGTCTAGAGGGGAAAAGTGTCTTTTTAAAACTGAGGCTTGAAGTCCCAGTTAGTCAGTTGGAGTTGGTGTTGGAGAGTGGGTGTTAGCTCAGAGTGAATTTGAGTTTAGAGAAGAAGATTGGGTTAGGCTTTTGTGAGGTATTCAGAGTAGCTATTAGTAGATAGCTAGAATACTGTTGTGGAGCAGGGCCCAGTTATTGGACTGTTCAATTCCTAGAGAAGTCTAGTTCAGAGTATTTTTGGCTAGATTCCTAAGGGGCAGTTTTGGGAGTTACTTTCAGAGATTAATTTCCTGAAGTAATTTTCTGTGGTGGAACTTTGAAGACTTGTAACCCAGAAGAGTTTAAGATTTTACTCTAACTCAACGACAAGCTTTTCATGCCAGTATTTTCTGAAACCATTAAGCATTTGTACCTGAATTACTTCAAGCTTGTTCAATAAACATTCTTGTTCTTTTATTAACTTATACCAGTCTCAGTGTGTGTACCTTTGTGGCAAAAATATTTCTAAAGTCAGCTTCACTGCAGCCATTAAGAAACTATAGTGGCACAGTGTGTGTTACAGAACAGACTCACAATATTACCTCAGCCTGATTAGTACTGGAATGATGGCAGTGGGATTCATTTGAAGAAGCATTTTAAGTCTCTCAGTTCTAGTGTTTCCCAGTTCCTACCTTTTAAAAGGCTGTGTCTATCCCCTTCTCTGCTCTAATCTCCCCTAATATTGGTATAATCAATGGGATATATTACAGCTGTTTCAACAACAAAAATATGTAGCCTTTTGACGGCTTCATATTTTTGTTGAACACGTGTTCATATTTTAGGAGGTACCTGTGCGTTATAGCATGACTCCAGTCGTTGTGCCCGCAGGTTCATTGGAACACACAAGCCCTCTCACCACAACAAGGTGACAGTCCATCGGGGACTTTATTTTCCATCTTCATCGCTATGATACTGCACCTTGTTGATGGGAAGCTTCCCACCGGAGTGGAAATCATCTATCGGACAGATGGCAAGCTATTTAACCTCAGCAGACTGAAAGCCAAAACCAAGGTTACAACAACATCTGTTATAGAACTCCAGTATGCTGATGACAACTTCGTCTGTGCGCATTCAGAAGAAGACCTACAAGCCACTCTAAACACCTTCGCAGAAGCATACGAGCAGCTCGGCCTGTCATTAAACATCGAGAAAACCAAAGTGCTCTTCCAGCAGTCACCAGGCAATCCCTCTCCAATTCCAGAAATACAGTTTAATGGTGTAACATTAGAAAACATTGACCATTTCTGCTACCTTGGCAGCCACCTCTCCACAAAAGTCAACATTGACACTGAAATTCAACACCGCCTGAGCTCTGCAAGTGCAGCCTTTTTCCAAATGAAGCAGAGAGTGTTTGAGGACCGGGCCATCCATAGGGATACCACGGTGCTTGTTTATAAAGCTATTGTCCTCCCAACCCTGCTATGCACTTGTGAGACACGGACATCACATGCAACTCCTGGAACAATTCCATCAGCGCTGCTTCAGGAAATCTCTTGGGAAGACAAGCGGACAAATGTCAGCATGCTGGAAGAAAGAAAGACCACCAGCATTGAAGCGATGGTCCTCCACCATCAACTCCGCTGGACCGGCCATGTTGTCTGGAATTGCTCTACTCCGAACTCAAGAACGGAAAACAGAATGTTGGTGGACAGGAAAAGGAGATTTAAAGATGGGCTCAAAGCAACCTTAAAACCTCTGGCATAGACACTGAGAACTGGGAAGCCCTGGCCCTTGAGCGCTCCAGCTGGAGGTCAGCTGTGACCAGCAGTGCTGTGGAGTTTGAAGAGGCACGAATGGAGGGCGAAAGAGGGAAATGTGCCAAGAAGAAGGCTCGACAAGCCAACCCTTTACAACAACAACAATTTTATTGATTAGCCAATTGGCCTTATCAAAAACAAACGATGCAGACATAACATACAACATATATGGATATGGACAAGCCAACCCCAACCGGGACTGCCTTCCACCTGGAAACCAATGCCCTCACTGTGGGAGAAGATGCAGATCAAGAATTGGGCTCCACAGTCACCGACGGACCCACCACCAGTACCCCGACCTTGGAGGACCATCATCCTCGGACTACGAGGGATCACCTAAGTAAAGTAATATGGCAGTGTAGACTCATATAATCCAGTTCAAATAAAATAATGTGGATTATCTGCTTTGATAATCTGGATTACATGGCAGTGTAGAAGGGGCCTTGGTTTGAAAAAGACATTTCTAAGTGTTACTCTGCAAGCTCTATCCAAACTGATATTCTTAATATCAAAATCTTCCTGACTAATTCAACTGTTAAAGCAATTATCTTAAGTTTGTAAAAACTACATTTCACATGGTTGTTCAATGTTACTACAATGTTATTACAGTTTTTACTATGAGTGCCTAAAGGTAATTTTGTATACAATATTTAAATTGATTTTGTGTATGAAACAAAGTTTACATACATTGAAGAACCAGAAAGCAAAGATATCACAATTTCAACATGGATGATATCAGATTTTGGCCCGGAAAACTCACAGCAACCCGATGATTCCGGCCATGAAAGCCTTCAACAACAGCAACAAAAAATCCTTTTTCCAGACTGATCATAAATATGACAAGTTGTTATATTTATTTATTTCTGTGATGTCTATGACGGCTTTCTCCAGCCGACTCAAGGTGGCTCTCAACATCTTAAAAAGTGCATAGAACATAAAACCGTACCTAAAAACAGATAATCCATATTATTAAACAATAAAGTTGACATCAGTCTAAAATTCCCCATCTGACTGTAAAATGCCTGGTTTCAACTAAAAGTGGCTTCAAAAAGGAAGGTCTTCCCACCTTTCCTAAATGACATCAGTGTGGATCATGTGAGTCCACACTGCCAAATAATTTGTAACTCTGGGACTGCCTGCATTCAGTAAAGAAGCAAACAGGCTCTTTAAGAGTGAAGCACATTACTGTTGTATGTGCGCTCTAGGGGCCCTTCCACACAGCCATATGACCCAGAACATCAAGGCACATAATCCACAATATTTGCTTTGAACTGGATTATCTGAGTCCACACTGTCATATAATCTAGTTCAAATGGGATTTTATACAGCTGTGTGAAAGGGAGCTAAGAAATACAGTGTGACTGCATACATCTTAGGCTGGATCTACAATGCCATATAATTTATTTATTTATTTACTATATATACCGCCTCTCTCAGCCCGCAGGCAACTCGGGGGCGGTGTACAGTCAGCATCAAAAACATAAACGGCTGATCGTTTGTGGGATTAACATAACTCAAAAACCACTGAACGAATTGACACCAAATTTGGACACAAGACACCTATCAGGCCAACGAGTGACCATCACTCCTAAAAACACTGAAGAACACAGTGGAAGAGACTTAAAAAGCAAAAAAATAAAAATTACATTATAACACATGTGCAAAAACACATATATACACATATATACACAGACAGGGCCACAGCAACACGTGGCAAGGGATGGCTAGGATATAAATAAAAAAGTAATGTTCGTTTGTGGGATTAACATAACTCAAAAACCACTGGACGAATTGAAACCAAATTTGGACACAATACATGTATCAGGCCAACAAGTGACCCTCACTCATAAAAACACTGAAAAACACAAAAAGCCAAAAAAAATACAACACATTTGCAAAACCACACACACACATATATGCAAACACATATAAACACATATACACAAAATACACACACATAAAATACACACAGACTGGACCACAGCAACGCGTGGCAGGGGATGGCTAGTTAAAGATAAAACAACAATATAAATATCAATAAAAACATGGATCAGTTTAAGTCTTCTTGTTAAAAACATTATCCAATAGCATCGTCCAGCCGTTCCGTTTTTTCTCCATGTCTGTTATATTGTGTCTGCAAAGGCTTGCTCAAAAATCCAAGTCTTGACTTTTTTTCGGAATGTTAAAAGGGAAGGGGCCGCTCTAATATCCCTAGGAAGGGCGTTCCACAGCCGAGGGGCCATCCCTGAGAAGGCCCTGTCTCTCGTCCCCGCCAGACGTACTTGTGATGAAGGTGGGATTGAGAGAAGGGTGTCCCCAGACGATCTTAAGAGTCAAATTATCTGCTTTGAGCTGGATTACATGAGTCTACACTGGTATATAATCCAGTTCAAAGCAGATAACCTGGATGTTATATGGCTGTGTGGAAGGAGCCTGGCTTCCTGGTTGTCAGCCCTGCTTTTTCGACTCTCCTTTGAGACTGAAAGCCTGGGTGCATCTACACACTGTAGAACCAATGCAGCTTGGCACCACTTTAACTGTTGTGGCTATAATGCGATGAAACCAAGGTGGTTTTCCATGGTCTTTAGCCTCCTTTGCCAAAGAGTGCTGGTGCCTCACTAAACTACAGATGCATTGAGCCCTGGCAGTTAAAGTGGTGTCAAACTGGATTAACTCTACAGCGCAGATGCACCCCCAGGCAGCCAGGTAGTAGCAGAGAAGAACCACACCAAGTCTAAAGTGCAGGAGGGACCTCCTTCAGGTCCCTCCCAGAGGCCACACTGCGCAGGCGCAGGGGACCTGGCCCTCTCCCTGGCTGCTTGGTTTTGCTTCCCTCTCAAGGCGGCCGCTGCGGCTCTTGCTTGCTTGCTTCCTTCCTTCCTCGGCGCCCCTTCGCTCCTTTCTTCGGCCTCGTATGAAGAATGGGAGGCCCAGCCAGGACCCAGCCCCGCCGATCCCTCCTCCTCCTCCTCCTCCCGCCGGAATGGAAAGGGTTCAGGCGGCGGAAGGAGCTGCTTGGCCCGCCCGCTTCGTGTTTTGCTTGTACGCCGTGGGCTTCCTGGTGAGCCGCTGCTTCCCCATTGTGCAACGAAGGCACTTGGACAGCACTGGGACCGGCCATGGCTCAATGCTGTGCAAACATAGGGGGTTGGCCTTTGGTGAGGCAGAGAAAGCTTCAGACCTTGCAAAACCACAACTCCCATGATCCCATTGCATTGAGCCTTGGCAGTTCAAGTGCTGTCAAACTGCATTCATTCTACAGTGTAGCTGCATCCTCTCAAAGGCCCCTTCCAGACAACTATATAAAATCAGAAAATATCTGCTTTTAACTGGATTATATGGCAATGTGGACTCAGATAACCCAGGGCCCTTCCTAAACCGCTCTCTATCCCAGAATGTCAAGGCAGAAAAATCCCACAATATCTGCTTTGAACTGGATTATGTGGCAGTGTGGACTCAGATAACCCAGGGCCCTTCCACACCGACCTATATGCCAGAATATCAAGGCAGAAAATCCCACAATATCTGCTTTGAACTGGGTTGAAGAGAGATATTGAGAAGCTGGAAGGTGTCCAGAGGAGGGCAACTAAAATGATCAAGTTTCTGGAGAACAAGCCCTTTGAAGAGCGGCTTAAAGACCTGGGCATGTTTAGCCCAAAGAAGAAAAGGCTGAGAGGAGATATGATGAGGGCCATGTATAAATACGTGAGAGGAAGTCATAGGGAGGAGGGAGCAAGCTTGTTTTTTGCCGCCCTGGAGACTAGGACAAGGAACAATGGCTTCAAACTACAAGAGAGGAGATTCTATCTGAACATGAGGAAGAACTTCCTGACTGTGAGAGCCGTTCAGCAGTGGAACTCTCTGCCCCGGAGTGTGGTGGAGGCTCCTTCTTTGGAAGTTTTTAAACAGAGGCTGGATGGCCATCTGTCGGGGGTGCTTTGAATGCAATATTCCTCCTTCTTGGCAGAATGGGGTTGGACTGGATGGCCCATGAGGTCTCTTCCAACTCTATGATTCTATATGGCAGTGTGGACTCAGATAACCAAGGCCATTCCACGCAGCCCTCTATCCCAGAATATCAAGGCAGAAAATCCCACAATATATGCTTTTAACTGGGTTATCATGAGTCCATACTCAGATAATGTGGTGTTATCGGGCTGTGTGGAAAGGCCCAAAGACTGGCTGTTAGCATTAATTAATTTCTTGTTGTCTTTTAAGACAGTGGGGGGATTTGGATGGGGCTTGGGCACTGATATCCTGGCTCCTACTTTCCTCTCATTTCTGGATCATTACATTTATTCTGCTGTGACTCCAGTTCCCAGAATCCCTGATCATTGGCCAAGGTAGTTGAATTCCAAAGACTGGAGAAGAGTTTGGGAATCACTGCAAAAGAGACCAGATCCTGTCTGAGGCCCCTTTCCACATCTGTATAAAATCCACATTGAACTGGATTATATAGCAGTGTGGACTCAGATAATCCAGTTCAAAACAGATGTTGCGGATTATCTGCGTTGATATTTTGCGTGTGGAAGGGCCCTGATTATAGAAGTTAAGCAGGGTTAGCCCTGGTTAGTACTTGAATGGGAGACCTCCAGCAAATACCAAGTGTTCAAGAAAAATATCTGCACGGTGTCAGGGATATCCACATTAGTCCTTTCTGTGCTTCATAATTTTCTCTTTGGATTCACCACAGTTGCCAAATGTACAGTCTTCGGCAAAAGTATGATAGCTGGCACCCAATGCTGGTGGTGCGACGCGGGTCAGAATAAGAAAATTGAACATATTTGAACATGTTTGCATATGATATCCGCATAGCCTTAAGCACTATGCATGGCTGTTTGTCCCCCCCCCCCCTTTTTCTTTTCCTGGCGAACTATCTTGCCATGACTCTGTCACACCTCCGTCTCTCACACACTGCGCTGTCTCGGCATTGAGTCCCAGCTATCATATTTTTGCCTAGTCTTCATTCAGTATGTACAGTAGACCTTTTGTATCTACTGGGATTTGGTTCCAGGAGCTCTCAGGGATATCAAAATCAATGAACATTCAGGTCTCATTATGTACAACAGCATAATAAAATGGCGTTCCTTATATAAACTGGCAAAATCATGTCTTGTTTATTGAATTTAAATCTACTGTATACATCTAAATCTATATTCAAACAATGGATGTTTGGATCTATGGGTGGTTAAATTTGTGGATACATAGGGCTGGCTTTATTCTCAGAATGGGTCTTTGTTTGCATGTGTCATACTAAAGGGAGGCCCATACATTGAACAGAGTGGTAGATTAATCATAGAATCATAGAGTTGGACCCCCTTCCAGGGACCCAGTTCAACCCCCTTCCAAGAAGCAGGAACATTGCATCAAAGCACCCCCAACAGATGGCCATCCAGCCTCTGTTTAAAAGCCTCCAAAGAAGGAGCCTCCACCACACTGGGGCAGAGAGTTCCACTGCCAAACAGTTCTCACAGTTAGGAAGTTCTTCCTAATCTTCAGGTGGAATCTCCTTTCCTGTCGTTTGAAGCCATGATGACGTAAACGACAAGTTGCAGTGATTTCCCAGCATACTGTTGTTTACCTATGACAAACCTTGGTCCACAAATCCTAAGCCCATGAAATTGGAGCTTAGACATTTTCTTTATTGAATTGCAACATAGGAGGTGGAGGAAATCTCTTTTCAAATTATTACATTAAATCCTCTGTTCTCAGTATATCTAACTTACAGCAAATGTGTATTGTCTCTTGCAGGATTTCTTTGGAGTCAGTATGGTTGTCCCCTTATTAAGTCTTCATGTCAAGTCTTTAGGAGTGAGCCCAACAGTTGCAGGAGTGGTAGGTGAGCATGTCAGCTTCCCTTATAAGCAAATGGTGGAAGGTTCTGGTCAATACCATGCAATTTTGCATTTAAGCACTAGCCTGGCAGCTTATGTGAAGCAGTGAGGCTCCTTCCACACTGCTCTATATCCCAGATCTGATCCCAGATTATTTGATTATCCAGGGATTATCTGACAGTGGAGACTCATATAATTTAGTTTAAATCAGATAATCTGGGATCAGATCCTGGGATAGAGGGTGGTGTAAAAGGGGCCTGGGTGGCTTGATGGAGAGAGGATGGAGTTCTTGCCCTTCCTTTAAGCCCAAAATAGAACCAACAAGGTTGATATAAGAGGAGAGTCCATTCTTCTCTGACCAGCACAGAAAGAAACACTGTGGTCTGTTACAATAGGAACCGAACTCTTCATCCCTCCACTTTTCAGACTAAACATTGTTTCAAAATGTCTAATGTTTCCTGGCTTATTTATAAAATCAAATTTAATAGCTACAATTAACCAAAAAGGAGATCTTTCTGTTTCAGTTCTTCTCCATTTTCATTACAAACATCTGACTTACAAACGACTCATAGTTAAGAATGGGGTGAGACAACAGGATCAAGGCTGTTGCCGAGGTTAGGGTTCACTCCCCCCCCCCCAAAAAAAATTTCAAGTTAAAAAACTGGTTTACTCAGGAATTTTAACTGGTTAATCAAATCCCCATGCTAAGTCTATGAGAAGTAAAAGTTAAATTGATTTAATTAACTCTATATAGAATGAACCATACTATTTAAATTATTTTGTGTTATGGAACTTCTCTTCATGATTTGTTGTTGTTTTTTCAAACACCCCCCCCCCCCCCCCCCCCCCCCCCCATTTGTTCTGGCTATGGCACTGACAGAAAGTGAGAGAAATCTAGATCTAGTAAGGGAAATTCACTTCTGAAAGAGCTTTCATGGGGAAAAAGGTGTCTCAACTGAAGCTTAATCCCCAACTCTTGTTTCCACAACAAGCCACATTTTTGAAAATCCAATTATCACAGAGATAGAAAGTTAGATGAAATCTTCTGAACAGGGGCACAAACAGGAAAACAAACTCCACAGGAGTGTTAACCCTGTGCTACACAGAGCTTGTGTGTGTGTGTGTGTGTGTGTGTGTAGTTGTAGTAGTAGTAGTAGTAGTAGTAACACTTTAAAATGTACCTGTTCTGATTTACATGCAAATAAACAAACCTACAGAGCCTATCTTGTTTGTAACTTGAGGGCTGCAGATAGTGACATTTCATAGCTTGCACACCGGAAGTTCTGACAAATTTGGTGTTCAGCTGTGCATATTTCTTCTGTGTGTAAATCGCATTCTTCAGATCAGCTGTGATATTACCTTTGCCCTCAGTTGACATATCTGTCTAAATCTGTGGGTCCCCAGGTGTTTTGGCCTACAACTCCCAGAAATTCCAGCCAGTTTATCAGCTGTTAGGATTTCTGGGAGTTGAAGGCCAAAACATCTGGGGACCCATAGGTTGAGAACCACTGGTCTAAATGGTACGAGTTCATATAATGTAGTCCTAACTCAAAGAAGAGATAGCTGTAAGGAACTGGGATTGGGCAGAGGCTCCTTTTGCCAGCAGAAATTCTCTTCCATTGACAGAGGCCTCTTCCATCCGCTGGTCTCAAAGATCTACAGTACCTATAAAACAGAACTGTTCTGCTGAACTCTGATAAGTCAGAAAAGCAGGTAAAAATCTTTGGGATGCGGAGCTATCCAAATTATGCCAAATTCAAACCTCCTTTATCTCAAAGACACAACCAGAATGGTTAGGGAAGGGTAGTCCTATATAATTTTAAGTATCTTTAGGCTAGTATGGTTTCTATATGGAATAATTACCTCTGGCTTAATGTTGGTGCAGCTTGTTCTTATATGTCTTTGGTCATTTCTATTGTGCTCATACAAGGGATGTTTTTGTAGAGCTGATGCATTTTAGCATCAGGGTAACATGTTCAATCAAAATAAATCTGTCCACTAGGGAAACCCCTTGGTTCCTCTCATTGCATCCCAAGTACTGACAAAAATACCAGATTCCAGCTGCTGTCAGTAAATTATTTCAAAACTTGAAAATTTTATTGGAACATTATTACAGCTTTTGAAAGAAGTACAATTAGTGCTACTTGTTTAAAAATAAGACACAAGTAACATTACTCAGGTGTCATATGTAACTTACATTTTTGTTCACTTTTAAAAGCCCCCATAAATAAAAATGAAATAATAAGTAAATGTTGCTCATACTCACAAAGAAACACCCAAACTAAGCATTCAACTAGTTCCCTATCAATACCCCCCAAAGTAACACATCACAAGTGACAGTACTGTGTGTAGCATCCTAATTCCAAAGTCTGAATTGCTCACATCACTTTTGTCATCTCTTTTCCACAAGGCCTTGCTAAATAATGAAGTTATTCCGTTTTAAAGGGTTTATTTGGCCAGAAATATTTGTGAACCAGAGTTGATGTCAGAGATTATTTGCTTTGCAATTATTGAAAATGCATTACAAAAATTTGCTCCAAAAAGATGACTAATATTTGATTTTCAACATTTATCTTACTTTTAGGGTCTTTATATGGAATACTGCAGCTCTTTTCCAGCACTTTAGTGGTAAGCTTCCCCGATGATAAAGTATTGCTGAGTTCATAATGAAAAAAATATCCTTTTGAAGGTAGTCTTTAAGAAGAATGATATACCCGATCTTTAAGAATAAGAGATATGTGTTTTAGAGGCTATTTTAAGTGTATTTGTTGTATTTTAATCTGTTTTTACCACACTGTCACTATTTAATTTTTTAAAACTTTTGTATTGTGCTTTTTAAACTTGATTAAGTTGAGATTGTTAGCTGCCTTGAGCCCCTTTGGGGAGAAAGGTGGGGTATGAATAAAGATAATAATAATAATAATAATAATAATAATAATAATAATAATAATACAAATTCTGATATAAATGAAAGTATCATTTGCTGCCACCTCGGCTGCTGCCTTATGTTCTTGTTCAAAGGAATGTGGAAGCCTCACTTCATACCTCATTCCACACAAAGCGGTAAACAATACTTCTGTATGCAACCCAGACAGCTGGATGCACTCCCTGTCAGTCTCTCCTTTTTTTTTCAAATCTTGTGCAGCTATGCAGGGTTTTTTTTTAACCAAGCAGCCAGTTAGCATCTCCCCCACCCCCGTACCTGCTTTGTCATGATTTTAGAAAAATACCAGTCTCATGGTGTGAAGAAACTTCAGAATTGTGCAGTTTCAGTATTTTCCAAAAAAGAACCAGAAAAGAAAATCACTAGTTAGTTTAGAGGCTTACCAGGGGTCTGTCCCCAGCAACCACTGCAAGTGTAATGGCAGCTGCCTCTATAGAGGGTCAGCAAAAGCCACCCCCAAGGAGACATCATAGGCACAGCTGACAAGTTGCAGACTGCAGCTGACGTCATGTCTCTGATGTGTGCTGAGTGATTTGAATTCTGTGTTCTTTATATTCCATTTCTGACACTCTTTGCCTACATTTGACTACCAGTTGCTAACGATGATAGAACCTATAGGCAACTGCAGGCAAAGGGTCTCAGAAACAACATCTAAGACTATGTGATGAGATCCTTCATGTTTGCAGTCCCGCTCAATTTAGTAAGGCTTGTAGAAGCCAGGCTCACTCCCCTAAGAACACTGTAGCCTTCCATCCTTGCCCATTCCTGATCTCGGCAAGCTCAAGGAAATGTCTATTGCCATTGCAAAACATATTTTAGTACCCACTTCCACTTTAAAAGCAACTTCCTTTGCATTCTCCACATCTCTATTTTAGAGACTGCAGAGCAAAGATGAAGAAGCTCTTGGTTCCAAAAGACCAGAAAGACCTCCTGAGACACAATGTAGCCTTAATGAGCCACACATTCTGATATTTGGTCCCTGGCTAGAGTGCTCTCAGAAGCTTCTTTGGCTGGAGAATTCCCCTGCCTTGTCTGCTGTCTCTACATGGAAAGGGACAGGGGAGGAAAGTGTATTAATCTATCCATTCTGGAAGCTAGCTGGGTCTCAACATCAGCCGGCTCCTTCAAGCATTGGTCAAGTATGCAGTCAGCTATATGGGCCACTCATCATCCCAACTGGTGTTAACATTGCTACTTTCCCAACACAGGGAAGGCAAAAGTGCAGGTGCATCTAGGAAGTGGTTACTCCCAGACTCTGGTCTCAGTGGGCTCCTAGAAGCACCAATTCAGTATGTCCCGCTTAACACAGTGGTTACCCACTGGGGAAAAAAGAAATTCAATGCCATTATCATACTGTCTAACATCTTCTCTGTATAGATTCTCTCACATCTTATTATACACAATTTTTCTTTATTAGCTTGCAGTTTACTAAAACCTCAGGAGAAAAATATAATTGTGTTTTTATCTGTAACAGAAAAGAAAAAGAAATTCATTATTTTATCTCTGATCAAGTGATCAAAGATAAAAATGCAAATTCCTCTTTCTGCAAGCCTGTCAAGGAAATGAACTTTATAGGTCACTTGGGAAACTTCTGTGAACTGAATGTCCTGTCCATGCTGCAAAGTAATTGAAAGATTATGGCTGATCTCTCATATACTTTAAGTTAAGATACCCAGAACCAGTCCATTCAGAACAAAGAGCTAGATTTATTTCTGTATTACTGTTGTTACTGTTATTTTTTTATTTTTTTTTGGTTGTGTCAGGAGCGACTTGAGAAACTGCAAGTCACTTCTGGAGTGAGATAATTGGCCGTCTGCAAGGACGTTACAAAGGCACGTCGTGTGGCCAAACAATATCTCTGGACAGGGGGTAAAGCAGATCCCACCAACTGTCCCTCCAATATAAAGAATTCACACCACTTTGGCACCAAAATAACGTTTGAGGGGATGTCGCTCTAATTAACTTTCGCTGCCACCATAAACAAATGGACAGGAACACCCTA